ATCACTGCACGAGTCCTGCCGCCCTTCCACCACCACCTCCCAGGGACACCGCTCCCAAACCAAGCACACCGGGACACAGCGAGGTTGTGGTCACCCATCCCCATCCCAGCTTCCACCCAAAGGTGAAGATCCCCCTCAGCCTAAGGTTGAATAGTTGTGTTCCATGCCCTTTTCCCGAGTTTCACTGAATTTCACTAAATTTTTAGAGTTGGAAGGGACCATAGAGATCATCCAGTCCAACCCCCCTGCTGAAGCAGGATTGCCCAGAGCTTGTCAGAGCATGTTACTCAGGAGCATCCAGGTGGGGCTTGAAGATCTCCAGAGAAGGGGACTCCACACCCTCCCTGGGCAGCCTCTTCCAGGGCTCTGTCACCCTCACCGTGAAGAAGTTTCTCCTCATATTCAAGTGGAACCCTTTATGTTCCAACTTGTGCCCGTTGCCCCTCGTCCTCTCACTGGGAACCACTGAAAAGAGTCTGGCTCCCTCCTCCTTCAACCCTCCCTTGAGATACTTGTAGGCATTGATAAGGTCTCCCCTCAGCTCAGTTTCTTCCCATTATTTTTCTGGAAGCTTTCTGAATGCACCCACAGCCTCCCACAGCAGTGAGTTCCTCTGCTGAGCTCTGTGGGGTGTAAAAGAACCTCCCTCTTGTCTGAGCTCTGTGGCTGCATTCCATACTACCTCCTTCTGCACTAGGAAAAAGAGCATTTAATCACTGCCTATTCACATCGCTTCGGATTTTTATAGATCTCCTTTATATCCCTCTTTAGTTCCTTATCGTACAGATCTACTCCATCATCCTTCTCAAAATCCACAGAATTTTCTTTTGGGTAAACGCTGCAGCTACCCAAACCATCGTGCTACTGCTCTCAGGATGTGCTGCTGGGAGTCCAACAGTCTGCTTGGAAGAAGGCAAGGCAGCAGTAGGAAATGAAATAAGAGCAGGAACTGTGTTCCACCACAGATCTGATTCATAGCAAACTCCAAAGGAAGGGAGGTATAAATAAAAGCATTAATTGGGAAATAAAATATTAAGGATGGAGGGTTACGTTCTGTGACTATGAAACCCGATGCTTAATGTTGTAGAAGGAACATATGAGTGGATTTTCTAAATTTAAGAGACATTGAGAGCCTTCAGATGTCTTTGAGATGAATGGGTAATGCCAGTGTTAATCAACAATGACAATTCAAATATTGACTTGCTAGTGTGTATCTAAGTTTAGTCCTTATTGTAGGTAGAAACCTCAAATTTCTTAGTACTCAACTGAATTCTGAGCCTGTAGCTTTTGTGGCAAAGTTGAACGTAAGAGTTTGATGAACACATCAAACAAAACCTCTACCCACTTACTGCACCCAAGAAAGATGCGGTGGGAGCCACCCCAAGAACCCCCAGTAGCTGCAGGTAAAGCTGCACAAGCAGATACAGGCTTTTAGTCCCCAGTGACCTGCTCTGGCACCAGCTTTTAGAGCCGTGGTGGAGACGTGAGTATTTTCTGTGGATACAACTGTGTTTCAAAGTGTGGTTTACTCCATGGCATTTTTTAAAATCGCATTATTTTTTGCATAGCTGAGCCTGGCCACGGCTGAGATTGCACTCGCATTGGAAACTGTGGCATTTGCTACCACACACAAGAGACTTGGCTTGGAAAAGGCTGTTTGCTTGAGAATCTCCAGATCTGCTCTCAAGGTTATTAAAAATTACAAAGAAAATAGAAGATGCTGATTTTTCTACCAGACAAAACAAGCTATTTCAGAGCGAATTAGTCATCAGAACGCTCTGTTCTAATTCTGCTGCTCCTTGTTTTTTCCCTCCCACCCCTGCCGGGACACTGAAGATGTCCATGTCAAGCTGCTCTGTTGGTGTCTGACGGAGCGTCCCAGCTGGAGAGGCCTTCTCCAAGGGCCACCCCACCGGGTTGGGGGGCTTGGTCCCTTACCTGCAGGTGTATCGCTCCTTGCCCTTGCGCAGGATGGGGTCGGAGAGCGTGGGGGGCGGCGATCGGAAGTTGAAGGGGTGGTGAGGAAGGGGCTGCAGGGACGTGCCGGTGTCTGCCTTCATGGCTGCAAAACTCTCCAGTTTCTCCGTCATCGTCTCTATGGCTGACATCTACGAGTGCAAGGCGAGACCCCACGTCAGGAAAACCCGCAGGAAGAACAAGATCTGATGCATAAAACATGCCTTTTGAGCACCAGTGCCTGGGTCAAAGCCTGGTGCTGATGTTTCTTGCTCTTGCCCTCAGACAAGAGCTGCACAGCGGGCAACAGAGCCACCAAATCCCACCAGGAAAGAGAGAAACAGCCTGTCGGGATCAGAGAACTCGGAAACAACCAGCAGAGCCCTGCAGTAACCACCAGACCTTAGACAGTAGGTGCTTGTTTACCTTCTGCAACGTGCATGTGTTTACTTTCAGCATTTCAGATTAAAAAGTATCTCAGAAAACGCTTGGCTTCCCTTTTTCCAGGGACGACGCTGCAGTGAGACACCACCGTCAACTGCTGGAGGCAGAACTCACCACCCAAGCCCTCCTCAAACCCAAACCCAGGTCTTGGCACGCAAGGAGGTTTGATTTCTCAGACAGCATCCGTCCCCCCACCACAGAGGGGCAGCCACCCCGAGCCACGGGCAGGCAGGAGAGGCCAGGCTGGAGAGGACAGAGGAGTTTGGAGAAGAATCCTGGCCAAAGCGGAGCTGGAGGGAGCACGGGGACCACTGACCTGGGGCTGAGGAGGAGGAGAGGCTGGAGGGGTGAAGAGGGAGCAGATGGGGAACAGGAGTTAAGATCAGGCTCAGGATGGAGCAGGTCCACAGAGAAGTTGCCCAGTGAAGAGGCCAACATCTTAAATATATATAAGAAAGGTTCAGAAGCCAGTAAGGGTGATGGAAGGATGGACAGGAGGTGGCTGAGCTTCTGGAGTGAAAGGGAATTCCAGCCAAATGGAATTGAGCTGCTGCTGGAGGAGGTATGGTTCGGGGGACATGGAGAGCCTGGTGGGATGGGGGCAGCAGGGACACGGGCCTGGTGGTGTGACACCAAACAGAACATCTCCAGGGACCTTTATCTACCTTGGTTTGTGGGACTTGGCAATGGCCATGATCTCACTGCATTAAATACCACACCAGAAAGAGGGAGAAAGGGGAAAACCTGGAAATATAGGAGAACAGGAAAGCAAAAAGGGAAAGAAAAAAGCTGGTCTGTGTGCCAAAAAAGAAAAAAAAAAAGATATATGTTAAAATCCTACCTAAAAAAAAAGCACTTTTACTTTCATTAGAGCAAAAGAGGAAATCCAAATCCATGCGAGAAACGCATCTCAGAGGACCATGCTGACATCTCCCAACGTTCAGTTTTCTGCACTCTGGAGAGCACTTTCGAGATCCCCAGCAGAAAACAGGGATAAACCAACCAAGGCAGCAATAAAGCTGCCTCCTCGCTGCGGGTGACATCACCGGGAAGGACTGGGAGCACTGGGGGGGAGTGGGAGCCCGAGCGGGGAGAGCTGGGGACAGCGAGCGAGCGGAAGGCAGTAGGAAGCCATATATCAAAAGTAGATGCTCTATTGTACAGGAAGGGCTGACCTTTTGCACGTTTACACTTTATTAAACTGGGCTCGGGGGGGGGAAGGAAAGAGAGCCAAGATATTGTTTAAAATGTACGACTATAAAAAAAGTTGTCTTAATCACCGCCGAATACATTGTGGAAGGCTGACAACCATTCATAAGCTGTAAAAAAAAAGAGGAGTAGTAAAACCCATTTCTCGATAATAGATCCACGGCCCCTTAGTTGGAGGCTCCCAGCCCATGATAAATAGTAAGTAATACTTAGCGCCAGCCACTTGAAAAGGTTACTTGATCATTTACAGCAAAAGCTCTGCCCCAGCTGCCAGTCATGTAACAAAACCATCACGTTAAAATGCTATCCGGATCTTTCAGAGCTGTGCCACTCAGCCCTGCGCCGGGGTACCTGGAGATATCTTTTGTTGTGCCCTGTTCTTTAGGCACTTAGTCAGAGATGTTTGCTGGCTTGATAGCCCTAGGCTTATTTTAAAATTCTAAACACCGGCCATAGCCCTCTCCAGTGGGTAAAGGCACTTTGCTATTTAGGGAACAACCGCCTGGTTATAATAAAAAAAGAAGGGGAGAAGAAAAGAAATTTAACAGGTGAGAAAAGGTTTCCCATTAAGTTATCAAAAAGTTACACCGTTTATTTATGTTGTCCAGATTTTCATTTAAAATAGACAATGGAAGAATAACTCCCATCAGAGCAGAGAAACTACTGTCAGTGCCTGGCTCAGAAAGGCAAGTTGCCTGAAATGCATTTTGAGAGAGAAATCATCTTCTGAATGCTCAGTCTTTACCATGTCTTTTGGCTTAATCCCATCCCACCCAGGAATTATTCAGGGAAGAAAAGGCTGAGACCAGACCCCTCAGTCTTTACCACGTCTTTTGGCTTAATCCCATCCCACCCAGGAATTATTCAGGGAAGAAAAGGCTGAGACCAGACCCAGAACACTGGTAGACCCTGTCTCTAATTGACCCAGTGTGGGAACGTTGGTCCTAAGGAAGAAGACCTGAAAATATCATTTCCCTGAAAATATGAAGCCCTGAAAAGATGATTCCTTAGGAAAAGATCCAGGTTAATATCGGAGGAGGATCTGGTAGTGAAAACCTCACATATTCTTGAAGAAATGACCTGCCTGGGTTCAGTGTGTTTGGAACACCCATCTGCTGACCTACCCTGGGAACAGCAGCTCTCCACACCAAGTGATCTTCACCCAGCAACCCGCTTTCTTAAAAATCAGTTACCAGGAAGTTTCGGGCTGGAGTGATTGTAAATTTTAGGCTATTCCGCGTGATAAGCCGTTAGAGATAACCAGACCTTCCACATCTTTTCACTGCCATGGGAAGAGGACGTGGTCAGGATTTCGGGAACAATGTTAATAACCTTCCACCCAATGCTCAGGGCCCGTTCCCTTCTCATCGTCTCCCCGGGTTGCTTTGCCACACTAGCTCCTCCCCGCTATCAGATTCTTTACAGGCAGATATTCCCCACTATTCTAACTCACACAAACACAGGATGTTCCTGGCCAGCCTGTCACCATTATCCAGCCTCCACGAAGGAAAAATCGGGGGAAGTTATTAACCAAACTCTGAGGCTGATGCGAAACAATGAGGGAACTAAGTTTAGCTGTGAAAGCAACCAGGATCCAGCTTTCACAAACCTGCAAGTTATTTATCTAAGGTGGGAAACATGAGCAGAGGAGAACAATGGATGTGAATATAAAGGAGGGTAGAATAATGCCCGCAGAGCTCGGCTCCCAGCCTGGGCTCGCTGCGGGAGGGACGGAGCAGAGCTGGTGACCAGGGGGGACGTGGGGCAGTGAGTGGCAGAACTCACCCATTACCTTTCTGGAGTGAGGAATTCACAAGGGCCACCAAGATGCTGAGGGGCCTGGAGCATCTCTCCTATGAGGAGAGGCTGAGGGACTTGGGTCTTTTTAGTCTGGAGAAGAGAAGGCTGAGGGGGGATCTGATCAATGTCTATAAATATTTCAAGGGTGGGTTTCAGGAGGATGGGGCCAGGCTTTTTTCAGTGGTGCCCAGGGACAGAACAAGAGGAAACGGGCACAAACTTGACTATAAGAAGTTCCACCTAAACATAAGGAGGAACTTCTTCCCTTTGAGGGTGGCAGAGCCCTGGAAGAAGCTGCCCAGAGAGGTGGTGGAGCCTCCTTCTCTGGAGACATTCAAACCCTCCTGGACACGTTCCTGTGGGACCTGCTCGGGGTGGACCTGCTCTGGCAGGGGGTTGGAGGAGATGATCTCCAGAGGTCCCTTCCAACCCCACATCATTCTGTGATTCTGCAATCCTGAGGGCAGAGAATAACACTGCTGCTGGGAGAGTTTAGCTATTGCCTGTAAGATAAGGGGGTTTGTAAACTGGGTTGATTTCACAGAAGGCCTTGGTTGCACAGGACTTGGCTGTGTCCTTCACACTCTCTGGGTAAGTGTCCGGCCCGGCCGCACCGTGGGCTGAGGGGCTGGAGATCCTGGTCCACTCTCCCACCAGAAAGCTGCTTCCCACTGCTCTGCAGGGACTCACAGCCGAGGGAGAGGCAGAGGGAGCAAAGTTGAGCCATCAGTTGTCAGAAGAAGGGAAACCAGAGCAGCGGTGCAGGAAGGAGAGAACACAAGTTCTCCATCAAGTGACCCATCAGCTTTGGAGCAGGGACAACTGAGCCCCCATCCTCCTCTGCCCTGCACTTTCACGCTTTCTAGATGGTGTAAGGGAAGGTCAGACAGGTATAAAACACTACTGCCTGGATGCTGGACAGTCCTTCTCCACTTTGCACTACTGGAAAAGACTGGACGGGGTGTTCCCAATGGAAAAATTATGGAGGCACTGTGGCAGGTGAAAGGGGGGTTTGACAGACCATAGGAGTTGTCCAGACCTCAGCCCTGCTCTTCTCAATGCAAAAGAAACAGTGAGGTGTAACTACCATCATCCATAAACCAGGCACGAAATTAAAACTATCTGGGAGGAACTGGTGGAAAACAGTGGAGTTTCCAGCTGGGTCCCTGGATGACAAAGAGTCTGATCCGAGTGACCCGTTGGTACCAGCTGCATCTCAAACTCCTTGGCATCCAACCCACGCTGTGTTATAATGTCACTGCTCTTACCTGGGGGTGGAAAAGCAGCGGGGAGGGTCGCAGGTACTTCTCCTTTAGGGCACCCACAGGATCTGTCACCTTCCGCTTCTCCACCCTGCTGGACAACAAGACAGAGGGTTACATACCTCACAGGGCTACAGGCCACAAAGAAACACCCAAACCATTTGCAGAGGTGTTTAAATCACATATATGAGGCTCTTCTCCCATTGACATAAATGTCTTTCTTCCCCTTCTACTGGGTGTTACGAATTATGACCCACAAGTTACCCCACAAGAGACACGATATGAAAACGGATCCCCTTCTTTGGGCAGTATTTTTTGACCCTCAGACTGACGACTAAAAAAACCCCCATTTTGATCTTTCTATGTGAGAACTAATGCCCTTGCTTTAGTGGTTTATAAACCTCTGCTGTTGTGAAATGTCATGAAACAAACTACGTTTACAGCAAAAGCAAAGTTTAAGTGGGAGAAGCTCCAGAGCCCGCAGCGGCAGCCACCGCATGGGAAAAATGTGACTTTGAGACTTTGTCTTTTTCTTAAGAGTTAACACTGGGTCAGGCTTCACAGCCCCAAGCCTGCTGAAATCCTTTAGGTGTTTCATATTTATTTCCTCCCTTGCAGCTGAGATATAATTTGCATTGAGCTTCTTTGGCAAGCAATTGTGTGGACAACAGTTTTAGAAGGTAGGAACCGGTGGAAGATTTCTGAAGGGACTTCAGAACCCGAGTTCTTCTGATGAAGAACTTCAGCCCATTCAATATTCCACCCTTAAGCACCGTGCTCTGCAGAAATGATTGCAAAGTCAGGCTCCTACTTTTGAAAATATTAGCTTTGCTTTCCCAACACATTGTACTCGCAGTGAAACCGTGGTGCAGAATCACCAAAAAAGAAAGTGAAATGTCCTCCATGGGAAAAAGTGTTACAAAAGTAACTCCAATAAATGCAGCTGCATCTTCAAATGACTGGAACAGAGTCCAGCTCAGCTAAACCACCAGAAATCCAATAGTAAGAGTAATTTTAATTTATATTAGTCCAGCATAAATGAGAGCAAAATTATTTCGCTGCATTTCAGCTGATTGGTGTGTGGATAAAATTACCAAAGAGTTTAAAAGAAGAGTCCTGCAGAGTGCTATTTAGCAAACTGGATTTAATCTGCATTTCTTTATTTTTTTTCTCAGGTAGGAGAAAAGAGAAAAGCTGGATCTGAAACGCAGTCAGAACTTTTGTTTTCTGGAAGCCACGTGTTTTTATGGGCAGGAGTTTGCAGAAGAACAACCACCTAGAAAACAGTGTGTAAAAAGTTTCTCCCTGACACGAGGCAAAAAAGCAAATTACAGGGAGCACCAAGGGGTGAAGGGCTGGATGTCCCCCATCCCTGGCAGCCCCCCAGCCACCCCCTTTGGCAGCACAAACCCCAAGGACAGCGTTTCCCACCGATGCTGGGGAACAAAACCAACGACAAACCTACAAACTCCCTCGTCAGAGCCGAAATCCGCAGCAGAGGATTAAGCTGATCTTTTCAGGCCAGTGCCTGAGAACGTTACCTTAACGAGGCTGAGCTAAAAACTGCACTGATTTCAGGCTGTCTGGCTGCATTAAATTATATCACCAGGAGAAAATGTCAAGGATTTAAGTGGCCTTTGGGAGAAAAATGAAGGAGCCAAATGATGTGAGAGAGTCTGATAAAGAGCAGTTTAGAAACAAAATATTTCCATATTTTTTAAGCTGGGACTTGGACGCTGTGCTGTTTAGCTCATTACATCAGAAGTCTGATTCGCAAGCAGCTCCACCGCCGCCTTTCTATTTTAATGTATTACTGAAACGACATGCATCCCGTGGAATGCAGCAAACGATGCCCCCATCCTTCACTTCCATCTGTCTTCTGGACCTTTACGTTTTTCCCCAGGCTGCTATTTTAATTGGCAACGGCTTTTCCAACCCCATGTTATTTTAACATTCCTAGTGAGAATGCCCAGAGGTGGCAGGACCCAAAGCTAACGCCGAGCTTTTGCCTTTCTATCCCATTTATTTTTTTATTTTTATTTTTTTCCAAAAGCTCCTTTTTTACAAAAACAAACGCCGGACTATTTACATCATTTTTCCAGGAGGAGATGGGCACGGTGGGGTCCCCCCAGACAGAACATGTTACACGTCCTGGGCTGTGATGTAGCCGTTTCCATCACAGATGGTCAGCGTGTCAGCAAGAGACGCAGCGTCAACCCCGAGAGAGCTGGCAAAGCCCAGAGACGCTTTCTTAATAGCCAGCAACCAGGGCTCTCTAATCCTCATCTCAGCTGACAGTTCTTTGGCCTGGCTAGACGTTGACATCACTTTTCCCACAGTTATCACCCGCACAATAGCGGGGAGGCAGGGACATGGGTGCTGCTCTCCAGCCCACGCCACCCGCTGCCGCTCGCAGCCCTTTGAAGGCTCAGGAGAACCTTCTTGGTGCTGACACAATCGCCCTGCGGTGACTCTGAGCCTTCCCAGCCCCGAGAAAACACCCGTTTCTGCACCCCACTGGGGTCCCCACACTGCCCGGGGGCACTGGGTGCATGTTGGGTTCAAGTAAAGCAAGAATAAAGCACCCCCTCCAGGAACTCGGGGTTCAACCAGACACTGAGCCCTCTGCGCCAAACCCACCTAAGAAATAAATGCTCTGAAGCATCCTGTCCTAAAGGAGAATTAATTGCCCTGTTCATGTCTAAATCAAACAGTCTGGGATACCTCTTTTCACTCGACTTTGCTAAAAATAAATGGTATTTTCTACGTGACACATCCATCTCATCCGCAGCAGGAGGACACCAGAGGCCAGTGCCCAGACAGCAATGAGCAAAGTTACTGGTACCCTCACTGCAAAGCTTAAAACAATTTTCCTTTAGAAACAGGTTTTATAAAAAGCTCTAAAACAAGAGACTCCAATCTCCCCTCGACATCTGAATTCATTCCTTCTGGAATTTTAACTGACATTTGGATAACTGCGTGCCTTAGACATGCCTTCCTGTTCAGCTTATTCTGGGCATGACATCATGAATCAGGCCTTCCTCAATAACCATCCGTTTCCAGAGAAACTAGAAACTCCTCCTTATCTTCTACGGAAGGTAAGTTTGCAAGAAACATATCTGGGAGAGATCCAGATAATAACACGCTACGGTATATTTACACAGTAACTTAAGTTACTCCGGACTTAAAACTGTTTCAAAAGACTGGGTCCATCCCCAATTCAGTTCTTACGAACTGAAAAACTCTAAGAAAAGGAATTAGAAAGAAAAAGGGGGCTGGGGAGGAAGAAAGGTGAAGTGGCTGACAAAAGGCCATCAAGTCAGTCAGTGGGAGAGCTGCATTTCCAGGCTCCCAGGGCTCCTGACTCATTCCCAAGCCATGAGAGCCCGGGCTCCGAGGCATCTGAACTCTGCATTCTTATCGAATCAAACCTCTGGAATTTCCCCAGCAGAAGTGCCATCTTAGCGTTGGCTCGTGGGAGAGTCCTTAAATAGGTCAAGTTTCTTCTTTATCAAAATAAGGATGTGTTCTTTATACGTATTGATTACGAGCACTCCTCTCAATCACTCAGCCCTTGGGACTCAGCACGTTTGAGGTGCTGGGACAGAGAGAGAGAAGCTCCACGGGCTGCAGCAGCCTCTCACTGCTCTTCCTAAACAACCTACACCCCCATCTGCCTCAACTTGTGATGTCAGCTAGAAAATCAGCTCGTTAGAGGAACCCTTTAAGGCAGGGTATGTTAATACCTGTATATGGGGTCCATGAAAAAGGGTGATGGCTTAGCATAGTGCAGGGATGGCTGCTGAGGCAGTTGAGACTGGGAAATCTTGGGTAAGACTTCACTTGCCATCAGCTTCCTCTCCCCGTAGATGTGGTTTTTCCGTGGCTCTCTTCCCCCGTTCTGACTGGCCCGGATGCGGTTGCCGATGCTCAGATCCAGTGGCTGTTCCTCCCCTGAGGACGGGGCTGGCAGGACCTTGGGTGGCGGCAAGATTGGCTTAATCTCTTTTGGCTTCGTGGTGAGATCGAAGGGCGACTCCGAGCTGGTGCTGCCCACTTTGTGGAGGTCCCTGGGTGACTTTGGTTCTGCCTTGACCAGCAAGTTGTGATTGAGGGTCCGCTCCGTGAAAGGGTAGAGGGAATGGGGGAAATTGGGAAGGAACTGAAAAGGGAACATGGAATGATACGGGAGCGAACCCATCTTTTTCTCCTGCATCCCCATAAAGCCAGGCCCAAAATACTTCTCTGCGATGGAGGCGATGGCTTTAATAGAGTCATTAGCTGCTCCCGTGGTGGGCAGGAGGTGCTCCTCGGGGGGAGGAAAGAAGGAATGCTGAGAATAGAAGAGAGGGATCTCACTCGTGTTGTTGGTGGAGCTTGCGGACACGGAGCTGCTGACAAAATCCGGTTTGCTCTCCGTTTGTTTGCTCTTGTCTTTCGTTTTGTCCCTGTCGCTCTCCGCGTCGCTGTCCAGGTCAGAACCGGTGCCCGTGGTGGTGTCCAGGTCCGTGCCCGTGGTGGTATTGACGTCCTCAAAGTCACTGCCGTCCGACATGTCGCTGTTCCTGGCTTTTAGCTTCTCCAGGTAGGAGTTCTCCAGGCTGCTTTCACATTTCTCCTCTCCTGAAGCAGCCTGGTTGCTGTTGCTGACGGCAGAGATGAGGGGAAGTGCCGGGTTCCCAAGGGGGCTTGGAAGCTTGGCGTCTTGAGTGTGGTTGAGGGGACTTTTGAGCAGTTGCGTGGGCGGTAACAAGGGGGGCCTGGGGTAGAGAGAGGGGGGGAAAATCCCCGGGAATCCCGGCGTGAGGGCAGGGAAGGCCGGGGGGGCGGGTGAGAAGGGGAGACCCCCCGGGTGAGGGCGGGATGGAAAATAATCATTAAATCCCAAGCTGGCGTGGTTGAGGTTGGGCGAGGGTTTGGATTTGTCCATGATGGAAGTGGGCGTCAGGGGTAGGCCGGGGGCGAAGATGCCGCCGGGGTTGTAATGGTTCTTGCCCTCGCAGAAGCGGCGGTGCTTGTTGAGGGAGGAGGTAGTGCTGAACATCTGCCCGCAGTCCTTGCACTTGATCTGGGTGCGACAGTCCGCGTGCATCCGCTTGTGGCGGCAGAGGTTGGAGAACTGCGTGTAGGATTTGTGACAGACCTCACCTAAAGCGTCAACAGAAACCAACAACAAAAGCCGTATGAAATTAACAGGAAGCGGCAAGGAATTCGGCTGGAGCTTCCTTGGCATCCCCTCATCCCTCCCCTCCCCGCCCTCTGAGATCCACTTTTCCCTAAAGACAGAGGAAAAGGGGTAAAAAGCAGGAGATACGCCGGAGGGGAACAGATTTAGACTGGAGATTAGGAGAGGGTTCTTCACTGTGAGGGTGGTGGAGCACTGGAACAGGTTGCCCAGGGAGGTGGTTGAGGCCCCATCCCTGGAGATATTCAAGGAGAGGCTCGACGAGGCCCTGGGCAACCTGGTCTAGTTGGGGGTGTCCCTGCTGACTGCGGGGGGGTCGGACTAGATGGCCTTTGGAGGTCCCTTCTGGCCTGGGCAATTCTATGATTCTATCTCTAGAAACCTGGCTCCACGTTCCTCCTGCCCAGCCTTCCTCCCAAACTTTTGGCACAAGGTTTAGTGTCTTTGTGCTTCAGCTCTCCCCAACAAACCCATCAGGCACCTGGGAAAAGCCATCTCCCTCTTCAAATACTGACACAGGACTCGCCCCAGAAACACCCACCTCCCTCCCAATAAATTCCCAATAAATAAAAATTCCTTCCTCGGGAATGTCCCAACAACTGCACAGAAATCCAAGGGGACGGTGCTGCTCCTGCTCAAACCTTGTTCTGAAATTTTGATCAAAGATCAGTTCAAGGGCAGGTTGGAGGGGGCTTGGAGCAAGCTGGTGTGGTGGGAGGTGTCTCTGCCCAGGGCAGGGGGTTGGAACTAAATGATCTTTAAGGTCTCTTCCAACCACAATAATTCTGGTTGGACTCGATGATCTCAAAGGTCCCTTCCAACCAAGAAAATTCTATGATTCTATGATCATCATGCACTTTAGTGACAATATCTATTAACATCAGCCAGTCCGCAGTCCTGGCGTGGCAGGGAGCACCGAAAGGAGAAGAACTTTGCCTCATTTACTCAAACCTTTCTTTAATGCCATTAATAGTAAGTAACCACTCCATAGGGATGTTCTATAAATACTTGGCTCCTCAGGCCTCAGGTCAGCCAGAAGCACCACGAGGAAGCTCCCTCTCAAATTACTAATATCTGAAAAAAATGTCACATTTGGGTGGATTTCTTTAAAAAAGCATGCTTTTCTTTCCAGAAGAAAATTGTGCCCTCCTAATTTTACCCACCTCCCTCGCCGCAGGCCAAGGGATGTGATGCTGGGGGTGAGAAGATACACCCCAGTTTATAATAAATGGCTAAACTGCTAACACAGACTGTATCACACCTGAGGGCACTCTCGGCCAGTTCTCACTGCCTCAACGCTGTGTTTGTGGTGTTTGAGCCATTTTTATCGTGTGCCTCTGCAATATTACCAAAAAAAAAAAGTTATGTTGTCCCCACATGGCAAAACGTTATGAGAAGACTGAGGACAACAAAAGCAAAGTCTTCAAGGGAATCAGGTTCCTTTTTTGCATTTTGCACCCCAGGAGTTGCTGGATATACGTGATGCTGCACAAAATTCCCTGCAGAAAATGCCGTAGGTGTGAGAGCTCACATCATCACTCTAAAATAAGGAAAACTGGAAATTTTTGGTTTAAGTCTCCAGTTCTATGATGATTTAGTAACTCTGTGTAACGTCCTCTCTTGCTGTTCTGTAGTTATAAAGTTAGAGTTTTGTGGTGGGTTTTTTTTTTTTTTTTTAATGCCAGGTATAAATACTGTAAAAAAACCAACCAAACAAACAAATCCCCTCCTTTTTCCACCGCAGGGGAAAGGAAACCTCCCTGCTCCCCGAGTGCTAATGGATTCCATACCCACGCTCCTGACTCCACCTGGCACATCTGAGCCAGGCAGAATCAGTCTCGAGCCGTGTCACACACTGATTTAGACTGACAACTCCCTAATTCTTATGAGGTGAGAGTGAGGAGATTATGAGAAGAAATCATTCATCTCGCTGCAGCAATACTACGAGATCCAAATTATCTCTTTCATGTGCCCGTCGCCAAATGAAAGATTGCATCAAAATGAGCAATAAGAGTATTTTTTCTTCCTCCGCTGACACCCATCTGATTATCTCGGAGCACGTTAATGAAACGAGTCTCCCAGGATGCCCCTGCATACTGTTCCCATTATACCAACTGGGGAAAAAAAAGGCAGAAGTGGGTTCAGTGGCTTCCCTACCCTAACATCAAAGCAGGGAATCAAACACAGATCCCGTCCTGTGCTCGAGCCCCGCTTTCTGAGGAGTGTCAGGAAGTAGTTCCTAAAGTTCCTAGAGCTTTGTTGTGACACAATCCACTTTTCTGCACAGTTATCAAAATCCAATAGGTGCTGTGTCAATTAAAAAAATATACAGCCCTGAGAATGACAAGAAATGAGACGAATGGCTCGCGGGGGAAAATGCCCTTTTGGAAATATTCCTCTGGAGAGAGCACTAAGGACACAGTTAATCTGCTATTTATTTGGCTTCCAAGCATTATCTAGATGAAACATGCAGTAAATAAAGGAGGAAAAAATCTCTTTTTAAAAAACACCTTCTTCTCATCTCTGTGACTACTCCAAATTCTTTACAAGGGCTACGGGATTTGAGGCACCCCTGAAAAACATTTCGATCAGGCTGTGTCAGCTATTTATTTATGTCACCAACATGAACATTCAGAAATTATTAAAGGGAAAAAAAAAAAAAAAAAAAAAGACGAGAGAAAGAAAAGATATGAGAAAATGGCATCGCTGGGACTGCTGAGAGACTCAGCTTTTAACTTGTCAAGAAAGTCAAAAAACCGCCACGAATGTTTACTGAAAAAACAGGGAGCATGCAAAAAGAAAAAAAAAAAAAAGGAAAAAATCACTGCGGAATTTTCATCTTGTGCTCTGACCTATAAAATTACAGCGGCTGCTCACAGAGGGACACAGCCCATCCTGGGGGGCCCCTGCAGGATACGTGCAATTATAGCCCGAGCCCGAGCGCGGTGATGGCCGTGACAACTTACATATGAAAGGTTTGACAGTGCTGTGAATGTGCTTGTGCTGCTTGAGGCCCGAGGAGGTGGCGAAGGTTTTGCCGCAGTCCGGGCAGGCGTGGGCCCGCGCCCCGACGTGCTGGGATCGGATGTGCCGCTGGAGGTTGCTGGGGTCCGTAAACACCTGGAAGAGAGAGGGCCTTGAGGGAGAGGAACAACGCGAGCAGGAGAAGAGCAGACATCTCAAAAGCTTTGCTAGTTTTTGCTGGGTTTTGTCGCCACCGCTCCATAGAACCACAGAAGGGTTTGGGTTGGAAGGGACCTTAAAGATCATCTCATTCCAACCCCCCTGCCCTGGGCAGGGACACCTCCCACCAGCCCAGGTTGCTCCAAGCCCCATCCAGCCTGGCCTTGAACCCCTCCAGGGATGGGGCAGCCACAGCTTCTCTGGGCAACCTGGGCCAGGCTCTCACCACCCTCAGGGGGAAGAATTTCCTCCCAAGATCTCACCTAAATCTCCCCTTTTTCAGCTTAAAACCCTTCCCCTTGCCCTGTGGCTCCCCTCCCTCATCAAGAGTTCCCCTCCCCAGCTTTCCTGGAGCCCCTTTAGGGACTGGAAGGGGCTCAAAGGTGTCCCCGGAGCCTTCTCTTCTCCAGGCTGAACACCCCCAAACAGGAGAGCATTAGGAGGGCAGGACATTCCCCTCCTGCTGCACAACAGGCTGGGATGATGTTCTTGGGAGCCTGTTGTGCTCTTCACCCTTTGCTTTCCCCATCTGCCCAGCACCCATCACCCCAGCAGCATCCCTGGTACCCAGGGAAAGGCCAGAGGGGAGACACTTGGGGCCAGGTGAGCTCCTCACCCAACCTGAGATGGTTGAGCACAGCACCCTCCTCGTGCTACCATGCTCCACACCACAACGGGGTCATCACACACCACGGCTGGGCCACCACATGACACCAGAGGAGGTCATCCATCCTCTTGACCCTTTTCCCCAGATCCCAGCACCCTCTCCCAGCAAGGCTCCCACCTCAGGTACCATGTCCCACACCGTACCTTAACACAGTTTTCACATTCAAACCGTTTCCCACTGTCGTGAGACATTTGGTGCCGAATCAGGTTGGATTTCCAGTTGAAAGCCTTGGGACACTGGTCACACTTGTACTCCCGCTCCTCGGTGTGGATCACCATGTGCTGCTCCAGGCTGGGGACGAGACACAGGCTGACTCCCACCGCCCCAGCCCACCAGAACCAGGCAAGGCACAGACCTTTCCAGCATCCTTGTCCCCATTCAGTGAGGTTTTAACCCAAGAGAAACAGGCCAGGGGGTCCTGGGGGGGGTCTCCAGAACCTCCTGCAGCCACAGAGCCTTTGGGGAGCAGCACATCAGCCACGAGAGGTGCAGCCACATGCAAGTACCATTTATTCTTTCAGCACTTGTTCGGCAGATGGAAGCTGCCCTATCCTGCCTCAAAACATGGCTGTGTTTTATGATTTCTCTTATTAAATACCCGAGTCCGTTTACAAGGGGGAAAAGGAAGGTAAAACCAGACCTGACCCTGCAGGTTCCTGAAGGGAAAAATGAGCACTTTGTGACCAAGACTCCTATGGCATCCCCGCGGGGAAAGACAAGATATTAGCTGTTGCTGCTGGGACTATCGCGTTGCCGTTTTCATGGGCACAAAGCCCACAGCTTCCCAGAACACAGAGACTTAACATTGGAAAGAAACACGATAAGGTGCAAACACATTTCACTTCTAAATGTCAGACATCTTTTATTACTTAACTCGGCAATTGCAGCTTCTGCCAACTGGCAGCCTCTCCCCGGCCGGGAGGATGATGGCAACCCAAAGTGGCTGCTGGAGCCTGGCCATGGAAGGGTTGGCTCCTCAGAGAAAGACATGGGGTGCTCTGATGGGTCCCCCCCTTTGTGGCCACCCAGGGCTCTGTGGGGCCACCGAGCTGTGACAGCCAAGGGAAGGCACCGCTGGTGGCAATGGGACAGGTACGGAGCCTGAGGAACCCTTCCTGAAGAGCAAGTGCTGTAAAATGTTCTAAAGAAGCTGGAAATCCTGCACCTCTCCGAGAAACAAAGGAATTAAATCCAAGCCCTTTGCTTCCTTCGGTGTAGCTTAATGGGAGTTACAAATTCTCCTCCTCACTGTGAATTCTGATAAAGGACAAACTTCTGTGAAATCTGCTGCTGCCTGAAATCCCCTCTGGACCGATATTCAACCACTCCTATGGAACTTTAAAGCAGGGCTGTATTTTTTTATATAGGAACATTAAAACTAAACACTGCTGGAAAATCCTGCCAGTCTTCATTAAATGCTGGAGGACAACTTTGCAGTCGATAACCCCTGGGCATTTCCACGGAGCCTGAGGGATTTAGAAGCCTAGGAATCGACTCAGCCTTGACATATCGCTCTCTCCAGATGCCCACCAAGACCTGCATCCCCAGTGGGACCATTGGTCCATGGTCACCCTGGCACCAGCAGGTGGAGCAGAATGGACCTGACACTGGGGTCCTTCGAAACCCCCAGTGTAAAGGCTGATTGCTCTGATTGAAAGATTGAAATCTTTGTCCTCTGAGGGCATCTCCTGGCACAGGAACAAGGCCAACCTTGGAGAAGGTTGGGCTTGGTGGGACCACAACCTGCCTGGGAACTCCACTTATAGACCCAAGCAGCCACCAGCCTGCTACTGCCCCGAAGAACCTCCTCTTCCTTCGAGTCAGAGAGTTAATATTCATGAACATGCCCCTTATAAACTGCCAATCCACTAATTTGGAAGAAGCAATATTCATTTTGCTGAAGAAATGGTGTTCTTAACACTACAAATTTTTGTACACACACAAAGAAATATATACCTTTCATATACATATACCAAAATACGCTCCTGTTAACTGTGATTTATGAGTTTATTTAGAGCAAATATGGACAAACTAATATGCTGTTTAGAGGCAAGTACCTACTGGGATTAGCAAAACATTTATTTATTTAGTCAGCTGCTAAATGCTCAATTTCAGTTCCCCAGTGGCACTCTTGATTTGATCTGTATTAACTTCTGAAAAATTATAAGACCATCGAGGTACGCTGACTGGATGTATTCCGTGTTTTAGTGGCTTTCTCAGTACATAAAATGCCACAGATTGATGGGGGAGGGATGGATGTGAACATTCTCTCCCAGCTCCACTAAATCCATCAGCACTCCGAATGGTGATGGTGCTGACTCTACCTTTCCCCTACTGAAAAAAATGACTTCTTATTATTTGCTTAAAAAAACCCTCCAGATCTTTGGAATCACTGGTCCCAAAGTCAACGCAGCCACCGAGCACAGGAGCCCCTACCACAACTCCCAACATTTTCCAAGCACATGGGTCTATGGCTACAGATTTGGAGAATCTCCATGTGGGTTTAGCTGGAAACACTTTGAAAAGGTCTCTCCATCACCCAGGGATGCTCAAAAATTGGGAATCCAACGCTGGAACATGCTCGGACTTTTGCCCTAAGCTCGAGAGGTTTGTGTTGAGCACAATGATGAGCAGTAAATGCCCTGCCATGTTTCCTGCTTAATTACAATCAAAACAGGAGTAGGTTCTGAAAATAAACGAGGACAAGGCTTGTAGGATTGGTGTTAACGTCCTCGGCCCTTCCAAAGGTTTTTGAGCTGACTTTGAACAAGAAGCTAAAGAGAAGGAAGTTTCTAACCTGCAGCTAGAGATACAAGAACTGGCATTTCTACAGAAAATCACAAATATTTAAAACATTTAAAGGAAGTTCTCCTTTTCTTGTCAGGTAAAAAAAACAATTGAGAGAATCACAGCCTCCCAGTATCTAATCAGAAGTAGCACACACAGAAGCACAAAATGAGGAATAAAGACATCAAACTGTGCTCACAGAACCCCCAGACAGGTATCGCCGGCAGACGGGATCTATTACCAACTCTTAAAACACCCACAACAAGCTATTTTCAATACAGATAAACCACTGAAATGTTCTTTGCGTTTCACCTTTCTCTATGTTTTCCAAAATAGATTTTTTTTTTCTTCACTTACTCACCTAGATAAAGGATCTGAAAGCAGCAATGTAATTAAGTTCACAATGACTAATGCTGGTGAACATCATCGTTTTGAATTTTTAACTGACGTGAAACAGCCCTTATATTGGGTTTAAGCTCCACATTTTTGCTCCACTTCTATAGTACATGACCGAGGATGGCCAGTTCTCATAATCCTGTAACAAATCTCACTGTGTGTGCTGTTTTCTCATCCAAGAAGTCAAGTGAAATGAGTACATGAGAACTCCAGCCTCCGCTAAACAGGTAAAACTCTAGTCCTTACGCTGTGGAGAAAGCTTTGAAAACACAGCTCCGGAGTTAAAGGCTCAGAATGCCAATAAACACAAGCCTAAAATGATTTAAAAACCCCTCAACTTTCTAAAACTGGCTTCTAATATTTAACCCGTTGAGTCTCACATTGCAAATGAATCAGAAATCTCAAAGATTGCTGCTTTAAAGCTTCATTTGATTACCATCACATTATGCTTGAATTTTTCAGTTAAAACTTATTAGGACAAAAAATTTTTCCTTTTAAAAAAAAAAGTTTGATTCACGTTTAGAATTGCCTCGTGGCAATAACTGAATCATTACTGCAAATAGAAGTATGAGATGGTGAATGTCTGATCTTTTTTTTTTCCTTCTCACTATGACAAAAATGCTCGGTGAACACAAAATTTTTTCATGAACATTTTCTTTTTAAAAAAATTAAAACTGAAAATTTGATTGGAATTGAAAATTTTTTTTAATTGCTTCTGCAGGATCAAACAGGAGCTCCTGACCATGTTGAGTTCTGAGTGTAACACGGCCTCTTTATGCCCAGTGATCTCAAATGACCAAGAATGATAAAGATATATAAGAAGTCTTCATGCAAATTTTGGCAGAAGGTTATAGCAGTCCTTTCCCCCAAAATTGGCTTATATGGGAGCAGTGGCTGCACGGATTCTAACCAGGGTTATCAACCTCTCACTGGCCTGAGAAAGTCATCGGGAATTCAGAAAACAACCATTTAAACTTGATTTTGCCAATAACCTATGGGTGCGTTTCTACCCATGGGTAATGAAAAGCATCAGAGTCTATGAAATCAAGGTGAAATAAAACGCTACCAATAGCTAATGGCATGGAAGGGTCCTAAAAAATGACTCTCCTGAAGCCTATGGAGAAAGGGAAGGAAAATTCCCTCAGTGTCTTGAGCCACCCACCTCCCTCCTTGGTCCCACGTTCTAACCAGGGTTATCAACCTCTCACTGGCCTGAGAAAGTCATCGGGAATTCAGAAAACAACCATTTAAACTTGATTTTGCCAATAACCTATGGGTGCGTTTCTACCCATGGGTAATGAAAAGCATCAGAGTCTATGAAATCAAGGTGAAATAAAACGCTACCAATAGCTAATGGCATGGAAGGGTCCTAAAAAATGACTCTCCTGAAGCCTATGGAGAAAGGGAAGGAAAATTCCCTCAGTGTCTTGAGCCACCCACCTCCCTCCTTGGTCCCACGTTTCCCATCCTTGGCCAGGTCAGGGCAGGAGGGAGGGAGTTGGGGAGGCCAGAGGAGGGTCTGGGGATTTCCCGGTACCTGTATTTATTGGGGAACATCCTCTCACAGTCTTTGCACTCGTAGACCTGGCCATCTCCAAGACCTTCTTGCTTGATCTCGTCATTCAGGGTCTCGTAGAGGGAGCTGACGGCGGTGCAGGCGTATTTCTTGTGTCGCCGCAGGTCGAGCTTGGACTGGAAGAGCTCATCGCAGTCCTCGCAGCGAAACGTGTGCTCCTCTGCAACAGAGAGAGAGAGAGAGAAGATGGTTTTGACCTGGGGATCGGGACGTTCAGACAAGTCTTAACTGTTTTACCCACCACTGGGCTTGAAGAGAAAATGTCACATTCTGTGAGGATCGCTCAGACAAACAAAGAGGAAATTTGCAAGTGACAGGAGAGAGAAACCAAGGTAGGCTGTGCCAGCAGAGTGCTTTCACTTTAAGCATTAAGAAAAAAAATAAATAATAAATCACAGAACCAGGAGAGATCTTGTTTTCTGTGTGCCCTGGCCTCTGCTGAGACGTGGAGACCAACAGATACACAAAGTACTGGGGCTGCTCCTGGAGCGTCGCGTTTGTTCGCAACGAGGTTTTTTGAAAACATGGACGAGCTTTTCCTCTAAAGGGGCTGGCAGGGAAAAAAGGAACAGACCATACTCGTCACGACAGACTCTGGGAAAAGCACAGACCTGGAGAAGCTCCTTTCTAAGAAAACATCATTCTAACCTTCTCCTCTGAACTCGTCCTGCCCGACTGCAGAAGCTCAGTGCGCCATCAACCCCAGGAGTTCAAACCCAGAGTACCACGGAAGAGAGAAAAGGGAGCCAAAGTCTTTGTTGTTGTGCTGTTTTTGCCCTTTTTTTTTTTTTTTTTCCAAAAAAAAAAAAAAATCTAATGCACATAATAAATTATTGTAGTCAAGGTCAAACAAATTAAAAAGAGGGCAGCTATTATTAAGTTTACAAGGCAGCATCCTGACCACGGTGCCAAGCCAAACAATCGGCTCCGAGCTGTAAATTTTCCAGGAGAACGACCTCGTGAGGGAGTGGGGATCTCTCCGGGTTCCTCCACCCAACAGAGAGCCTGGAACAGCAGCTTCCCAGACACCAAAACTGCCGCCGCGGTCCCCTGTCCTCCTCTACCCTTTCCTCTGGGCTCCGGGGCTCTGTTTCCTATTAAGTTTTATTCTCCTTTTTCTGATAACTTTCCTTTCGAAAGGAAAGCCTGTGGTAAAACGCATTAGCTCAGAGGGAAGAGTGGAAATATTGGGAGAGATGCAGCCAAAAGCCACCGCGGTGATGGAGCGGGTCCATCCCCCAGCGCTGCCGGCTCCGCGGGAGAGGGGATAACGGGGTGAAACTTCGTCACTCGTGTCCTTGGGGCCACTTCTCCACCTGGAGCCACTCTCAAAATCCACCACTTTTCAGCAAACCCTGGGTTTAAAGCACCCCAGGCGCTTGTCTGCCCCAAGTTTTGTGCAATTACCGCCTCTCAGGCTGTACTTTAAGGCCTGAAATGGTCTTTTTATATAAATCAGTAATCAATAGATCAATCATAATATTAAATAAATATTAAATAATTTCTATATATATGCCTTTTTATATAAATCAGTAATCAATAAATCAATCATAATATTAAATAAACATTAAATAATTTATGTATATATATAATTTGTCTTTTTAATTCTGTTAAAAGCAAGCAGGGGTACAGGCAGAGGCAGTGTCACCCCAGAGACCGCCGCTTCCCCGCCTGCACTGGGGCAATAATCTCCTTTTTCTGCCTCTCTCAGAGCAGCCTATTTAAAGCCAGGCTGTGGTTTCTGGCCCGTGGCCCCGCTCGCCGGGGAGCCCACGACTTGCCCCTGTGGTGACTAAGAGAGAGAGGATCCCACGAGCCACCCGAGCGAGCTGCGTGGGCAGCCGAAACCCCAAAGTGGTCCCCACCTACACGGAAAGTATCGAGGTGGCCGTGAGCTGGAAAGAGTCAAACACAGCTCAAAGAGAAAATGTCACCCAGACAGAGCGAGCCAAGCTTCGCCCAGCAGCCAAGCTGTGTCTCTAAGTGGGACCTCATCCACTCCACCACATCCAAGGAATGTATGAAATACAGGGATGCTGCAGGACTTCCCGAACTGCAGAAGAGAGGGATGTAAAAAGAAATAAATCCCAGCAGGTCAACATTTTCCTTCGGGGAGGAAAAGGGATTTTGACTAAAAAAGGAGACCAAAGGGAAGAAAATATCTGTATCTCTCCCATTTCCACTACTTACACTAGTAAGTCCTATACTCTGAAATTAGAATGGTTAGGGTTGGAAGGGACCTCAAAGATCATCGAGTTCCAATTGCTACCAGCAGCCTCTCGAGGAGGCAGATCAGGCCCTGCTCTACCCCTTAGAGAAATTCTGGTTACCAGCATCTTGTAGAACAGCATCAGTACGTAACTCATGTGCTTTATGTCCCTGGGGAGGGAAACCTGGAAGTCAGGATATAAAAAACTACCTAGCGCTGTCAAGACACCATGTATAACCTGCCATTAAAATAAGGGGAAAAAAGAAAAAAAAAGAGAATTGTAGCATCATCTTATGTCCCTGTCACTGTTTTACTTGTACCACCAGCATGAAGCACGCAACACTACCCAGTGAAATTTAGCATTTCATCTGCACACTCCTATGGACCAAACATGCCCTCGGTTTGAAGCAGCAAGCAATGGGCTGAGGGAGTGTCTTCAGGTGCCTTTTCCCTCTCCACACGTCTGTAAGTGGGGTGAGAAGAGAAAAACCTGACAGCATCGAGTGTCCTGCACGGGCTGAAGCCATCATCTCCTCCTGCCATCTCCCCTCCTCGTTAATGAGCTCACGTCAGCCCTGAAACAAGCGTTTATCTGCTCCAGCGCTCGCTCTCCAGTGCCTCACACGTCAAACTGTACTAAGAAGTGTCACTGGCACTAACAAACACGACCTTATTTTTGTTCTGCTTTTGCCTCCTGGAGATGCAGGTGGGACAGGAGTTCATCTGACTCCCACAGCCCACTGAGCCCTGGAGTATCGGGATAAATCCGGCAGTAACTCCAGGTAACACGGGACAGCTCTGGGAAGCTCTTCCTCTACCTCAGAATTCACCCCACAGATCAAACGTTTCCCCTCTACCCTGGTAACTTCTGGGTATCTTCACCTTAAGAAGTTCCTATGAAACTCCCAGCATCTCTCCAGCTCCAACTGGGAATTCCCCAGACCTGAAAACTTGGAATGGAGGACACGCATCAAGTGTCCTGCACGGGCTGAAGCCATAATCTCCTCCTGCCATCTCCCCTCCTCGTTAATGAGCTCACGTCAGCCCTGAAACAAGCGTTTATCTGCTCCAGCGCTCGCTCCCCAGTGCCTCGCACGTCAAGCCGTACTAAAAAGTGTGGCTGACACTAACAAACATGACCTTACTTTTATTCTGCTTTTGCCTCCTGGAGATGCAGGTGGGATGGGAGCTCATCTGACTCCCACAGCCCACTGAGCCCTGGAGTATCGGGATAAATCCATCAGTAACTCCAGGTAACACGGGACAGCTCTGGGAAGCTCTTCCTCTACCTCAGAATTCACCCCACAGATCAAACGTTTCCCCTCTACCCTGGTAACTTCTGGGTATCTTCACCTTAAGAAGTTCCTATGAAACTCCCAGCATCTCTCCAGCTCCCACTGGGAATTCCCCAGACCTGAAAACTTGGAATGGAGGACACAGATTTATTTTTTCCTTACTGCAGAGAGAATGCATCAAAATAACCTTCTGCAAATCCATACTAAACTCTTCCTAGTTCAGTCTGAGATTTAGATGATTAATTGTATCTTATTTCACCCAAACTACCTTCTAGGAACCAGAAATCCGCTTTGAGTTTGGAAAACTAGCCAAGGAGAGCAATTTATTATATACCTGGCTAAAGAGGGACAACCTGCAGGCACCCATTCCCCAGCACCCACCCTGACAGAGCTCTCAGCAACCACAATAACCTGGTTTTGCCCTTTCTATGAGATTACAGAGTAGGCAGACAGACAGACAGGTGAAATACATTAATAACCTCAGTAATAACCGTCAGAGAAGAGATTTTGCTTCTATTTCCCCCCCATCCTGTGCCAGCAGAATTGCAGATCTTACACAAATCACTCACAAATCACAGGACCCTCAGCAGGCAGAGCCTGGCACAGCTGTGGTTCCTGGGCTGCCCCATCAGACTTTTATTAAGAAATCTAATAAACAAGACAGCTTGGGCATGTAAAAAATATGTAGGGCACGTGCATTTTTTGCTTTGGCATTTGCATACTTCCTACATCTACACAGATTTGACAGATCCAGCCCTTGCACAGTAAACAGGTAGGGCATGTGCATTTTTTGCTTTGGCATTTACATACTGTTTGGTAACAGCAACATTCCTCCATCCAACAGTACAGCTTCTTTATTGCTAGATAAGAGGGATGATAAGGGAAGAAATGAAAATATGTAGGGCACGTGCATTTTTTGCTTTGGCATTTGCATACTTCCTACATCTACACAGATTTGACAGATCCAGCCCTTGCACAGCACTAAATTGAAAAAAAACCACCACCCTATTTTGTACAGGCTGGTGGTTCTGTAACAGCAACATTCCTCCATCAAACAGTACAGCTTCTTCATCACTAGATAAGAGGGATGATAAGGGAAGAAATGCGTGTGCTTTGGAATACTTGGGTTTTAAAAAAAGAAGTTTTTATTGAAAAGAATAATTAGAGAACTGACAAAAATACGATTAAAAGCCTGTAGTCACACTTTACACACATCACCACTGGCTGCAAACACTTTTCTGATGCTCAGATGGGTTAAAGAGAGGAGCCTCCTGGCTGGCAGAGAAGCTGACGATGCCGTATCGACATCCGGCAGCCATTCCAGGGGCATCCCCCTTCCCAAACTTCACAATATTAGACAGCAGGCTGCCCCATAAACCCCACTGCAGGAAAGGAGCTGACCTGTGGGCTGAGGGACAGACTCTCACCCTGCAAAAGGGAACCCAAGTAATAAGAGAGGCACAACCAAGGAGACCTGGTCTCTACTTTGTGTCTTTATATCAGTTTGTAGACTTCAGGTTCAATAGAGTCTTTTTTTCTTTTTTTTTGTCCTTCTTCAAACACCAAAAATAAAATATTGGCCCTTCAAAACAAGTTCTCATTGAAGTTTTCTCCTCTCTTTAAGCACCACAGATGGAAATACTGCCCTTCACAAAAGGTTACTACTTCAGTGTCTTACAGGGAGAAGGGGATGAAAAGAAAAGAAAAATCCAGTTACACAAAAATTGCTGCCTGTTCTCTGTGTCTTGTTTGTCAAATCTATGGTTATATGTGTCTATCTTAAGTTCCATCAGTAACACTCAGGACAAAGCAGGAATGTAACAGAAAAATAAATCAGTGCCTAATAGCTTTCAGAGAAACCAAGGGGAACACAATTATGTGGCATCTACATGCTAATCTACCAGACTTGAATCTCAAAGGAGTTCAAGTGCCCTACTCAAAATTCCTGCAGTGATAAGGGGTCTGCTGTGTTTGGCTGGGGTTCGGATAAAAGATTTTTATGATAATTATCTTTGTGTGGAACAATTTTGCATTTTCTTTCTTGTTAATTCAGAACCGAAATGGGGGTGCGAGGCAGCGGGAAGATAGCATTACTGGAAGTAAAAAGTATTAAGAAGTCAAATATTTAATGTCGGCCTATTATAATTTGAAAGCAATTATGTGGCAAAAGCACTAGACATTGCCAGGAAGACACAGATAAACGTCACAAAGACAAAGGTGGAAAACAAGGGGCACTTTTTGCCTGTTCAAATAAAAGCCCATTGGAAACAGAAATGCAAAACAGTGGTGAGTTTTCTTTCTCATTTCTCCCTGACATCAAAAAAAGGTACGTGTTACTCCATCACTGTGAACGCAGAAATTATCCATCTCTGTTGCGTCGGTTTCAAGAAAACTATTAACTTTTTTTGGGGGGGGGAGAACACTGGAAAAAATAACCCCAAAGCTGCCATGGCAGTGAGAGAGCAGCCATGGCACCGCCTGCTCCTCCACCTCAGCCAGGGACCCACAGCAATTGGGGAGAACACTGGAAAAAATAACCCCAAAGCTGCCATGGCAGTGAGAGAGCAGCCACGGCACTGCCTGCTCCTCCACCTCAGCCAGGGACCCACAGCAAGAGCTTTCGCAGCACTAATCCTCAAAATACCCATTTTTTGCAGAAATGTTTCAAGCTAATAGTGCCTATGGGATGTATGCTCTTAGAGACTCTCACTGCAAACGTGAATCTGAAAATTATATTCATGTAGAGGTAAAAGAAACTACGTGTATTGCAAGTTGTCCAGGTGAGACAACTCAGATTTCAGGGATTAATTACGTAGAACAGTATTTCCAAATCATAGTTTAGAAACGACAGGGAGGTGAGAATGTATTTATAGAAATTAGTCATCAAATGATAACGCAAAACCCGCAACAGGCTCTAGGCTCAATGAATGAACAGAAAAAGCCATAAGTAATATGCCCTCGAAATAGCTTCAAAAATTCATGTCCCTTTTAGGTTGTTCTCCAACTTTCACTGTCACCAAATGCCAAGGAAACTAAGAACCCTGGAAAACAGAGCCAAACTTTGTGAGTCTGGGTTTTGTGTCACCTCTCCCATGGCAGGGCTTTGGGCCATCAGAGGAAAAGATCTGGACTCGCAAACAACCTTTTGAAAATAGCAATTTTTGATTATTCAAGACACATCCATGCTTGTTGCCTTGTTTTTATGGTATTTTTGGGAATGGTGTAGCACATCTTCCCTAGTTTTCCTAAGGGATCTCTTCCACTGCATGGTGCTCTACGGATGCTGTCACTGGCAGTGAAGGGGGTGGGACACCAAACGCTGCTCAGTCTCAGCCTAATGTTGAGAAAAGCACTTTATTAAAGAAAAAAAGCATCACCATGCCCTAGATAGCCTGTGTGACTGGGCCTCAGTAATTAACAGCAGGGTATTTAGAGGAAAGCAGTTATGCTAATATACAAAGATGGGAGTAAGGCTTAGACTTTTGGGTTGCTCCACACACAGTTCCCCCTCCACCAGCCTGCTGGAGCTGTGCCCCGTGCACCACCATCCCCTAGATAGCCTGTGTGACTGGACCTCAGTAATTAACAGCAGGGTATTTAGAGGAAAGCGGTTATGCTAATATACGAAGATGGGAGTAAGGCTTAGACTTTTGGGTTGCTTCACACACAGCTCCCCCTCCACCAGCCTGTTGGAGCTGTGCCCCATGTCACTGCGAGGAGGAGAGACATGGCAGTAATAAAAATGTGACCTTTCTTTTAAAAATAATCATTCTTTTGGCCTTTGCTGGGCCATTTCAGCGTCCATAATCTAGCGATGACAGTTCTAGCCATGACTCTTCCATCCCCTGCCTGGATCCCCCTCTTCTGTGTCACCTAAAGCTCTACAGACCCACCTTATAGAACCAGAGAATCATAGAATCACAGAATCATAGAATTGCCCAGGCCAGAAGGGACCTCCAAGGGTCATCTAGTCCCACCCCCCCGCAGTCAGCAGGGACACCCCCAACGGAAAGCGGTTATGCTAATATACGAAGATGGGAGTAAGGCTTAGACTTTTGGGTTGCTTCACACACAGCTCCCCCTCCACCAGCCTGTTGGAGCTGTGCCCCATGTCACTGCGAGGAGGAGAGACATGGCAGTAATAAAAATGTGACCTTTCTTTTAAAAATAATCATTCTTTTGGCCTTTGCTGGGCCATTTCAGCGTCCATAATCTAGCGATGACAGTTCTAGCCATGACTCTTCCATCCCCTGCCTGGATCCCCCTCTTCTGTGTCACCTAAAGCTCTACAGACCCACCTTATAGAACCAGAGAATCATAGAATCACAGAATCATAGAATTGCCCAGGCCAGAAGGGACCTCCAAGGGTCATCTAGTCCCACCCCCCCGCAGTCAGCAGGGACACCCCCAACTAGCCCCTCTTCCGTGTCACCTAGAGCTCTACAGACCCACCTTAGAGAACCATAGAATTGCCCAGGCTGGAAGGGACCTCCAAAGGTCATCTAGTCCGACCCCCCCGCAGTCAGCAGGGACACCCCCAACTAGACCAGGTTGCCCAGGGCCTCGTCGAGCCTCTCCTTGAGTATCTCCAGGGAAGGGGCCTCAACCACCTCCCTGGGCAACCTGTTCCAGTGCTCCACCACCCTCACAGTGAAGAACCCTCTCCTCATCTCCAGTCTAAATCTGTTCCCCTCCAGCTTGAAGCCATTGCCCCTTGTCCTGTCACTACAGGCCTTTCTAAACAGGCTCTCCCCAGCCTTCCTGTAGGCCCCCTTCAGGTACTGGGAGGCTGCTATTAGGTCTCCCCGGAGCCTCCTCTTCTCCAGGCTGAACAACCCCAGCTCCCTCAGCCTGTCCTCGTAGCAGAGGTGCTCCACCCCCCTGATCATCCTTGTGGCCCTTGTGACCTTCTGCAAGCCTTGGAAGGGTCTGGCCCGTTTTTATTACACCCAAAGAAACACGATGACCCCAGGGATTAAAAAAGCACCTCCAATCGGATTCAGAACCAAAACGTTCCTCAAGGAGAAGAAGGAAATGAATCTGTTGCATGCCTCGAGGTCGATAGATACTTGCTATCGTTGACTAAGACAGCTACTCTCGCCAGAGAAAGGGCAAATGAGCACAAAATATTGACAGTTGCAGAAGGGGCTCAGGTTTTATTCCCAGTTCAGCACTAACTGAGGGTCCCACCGTGCCTGGGTTTGCTGGTGAGAGGTAGGAAAAGGTCCTGGCTGGCGAAAGGAGGCCTTACCTTCCATGCTGGGCGCCATGTTCCCAAGGGAATAACCACCTTCCTTCAAATACACCAAGAGCTCTTCTCCTGGCTCAATTTCTTTAATAACTTTATAATAGATCTGGGAATCAGAAACAAAAAATTGAGAAACACGTTAAATATGCAAAGAGTGGCGTTTTACATTTTAACCAATAACTCAGATCATTGTGGTAACGGGGGAGGCTGTCACTTCATCTGCGTGATAATTGCTACCGAGAGCTCTTTTTTTCCTGCCTTTATTTTACTCCAGATGTGTCAGGGTTTCACCTGGCGTGGACAATGAAGCAGCTTTCACGGTGACAGCCCCTCTCCTTCCACTTACACCGAGCCTTCCCATTGTTTTCCCTCCCTCTTATAAGCTTTGTGCCTTTATTGCAGCAGAGGGAAGATTAGACTGATGGAACTGACACATTTCAGTCTCTGCTTCTCTAAGCCAAAACCGACCTGATGGCTATTATTATTATTAGCGTGTCACCATGGAATTATTTTGGAAATTACTCTCACCTACAGCCTGAGGACCCGACCCCTAAAGATGAGATCTGAACCATTCCAGGTGAGTTTACCCCCGTTCAGAGGAGGGGCAGTGGGTGCAGCCCGGGTCCCCCACTGTCACCGAGCCTGTGCCGTGGCACCCGAGGGCAAACCCCACACAGAAACTGAGCTCAGACAGGGCAGGGACCAGCTCCCAGCTGCACATCCCATACACACTGCCATTTAAAGGGTGTAAAATGCAGTTTAAAGGATACCTAGGTCTTACACAGGCTTCCTGAAATAAAACGAGTTGTTGCACTCCAAAGAAGTATTTCTTAGAAAATATTACAATGAGAACAAAATCCCCTTTATCCAAGGAGCAACAAAGTGTAACCTTGCAAGGCATCAACACATTAGCCTGTTTTCATACATACCACACACTCATCTTTACCATCCTACCCCCAAACTAACACAAACTGCAGCAATTGCGTCCAGTGACACAACTGGGACGCACACGAGGGGACCCTGGCATCTTCATCCCCCAACAACAGGGCAGAGCTCGTGGGGAGGAAGAGTGTGGTGATGGGGGGTGATAGGCAGAGAGCTTGCTGGTGCCCTGTGATGACTGAGCACCAGACCTGCCTTCGCATTCACCCCCTGCATGTGGGCACCACGGACAGGGTGGATGGGGCAGCTCTGGGCACGGAGACCCAGCTCAACAGCTTCACCTGGGAAGGGCTTTCATGGAGAACTCCACAAAGAAAGCCCCAAAAACCAGCAGCAGAGGCAAATGGACAGTGTGATGGGAGTTTGGGTGAGCGATAAAGAGGGGGATCGGAACTACGTGAAATCCAGGAGACTCTGTGTCTCCCACGTGTTTTATAAATTTTTAGAGTGTGCTGGACCCTGGCCCCCCTCCCTGGGCAGCCTGTTCCAATGCCCGACCACTCTTTCTGTGAAAAATTCCTTCCTAATGTTCAGTCTAAACCTCCCCTGTTGGAGCTTGAAGCCGTTCCCTCTCGTTCTGTCACTAATTACCTGTGAGAAGAGACCAGCACCAACCTCTCTACAGTGTCCTTTCAAGTAGCTGTAGAGAGTGATGAGGTCTCCCCTCAGCCTCCTCTTCCTCAAACTAAACAGTCCCAGCTCCTTCAGTTACTCTTCATCAGACCCTTCACCAGTTTCGTTGCCTCCTCTGCACTCGCTCCAGCACCTCCAGATCTCTCTTGGATTGAGGTGCCCAAAACTGGACACAACACTCGAGGTATTAACTGCAGAGTTTTATCAGCACTGCCTTTAACAGCAATGCACGAAATTATTTTTCAGGGTATCAACTCCACCTTACCCAGAACGATTCCCTAAATTACCTGCAGCCCTTTATGGGGAACAAAGATGCCAAACCCACCACCGAATGCCTGGGTGGGCTGGGTTAATAGTGGCACCACGATGCATTTTTCCTCCTCCTTGGCAGGGGCTGAGGATGCCCGGGCTGCCCCGACTCTTCCTGAAATAAAACGAGTTGTTGCACTCCAAAGAAGTATTTCTTAGAAAATATTACAATGAGAACAAAATCCCCTTTATCCAAGGAGCAACAAAGTGTAACCTTGCAAGGCATCAACACATTAGCCTGTTTTCATACATACCACACACTCATCTTTACCATCCTACCCCCAAACTAACACAAACTGCAGCAATTGCGTCCAGTGACACAACTGGGACGCACACGAGGGGACCCTGGCATCTTCATCCCCCAACAACAGGGCAGAGCTCGTGGGGAGGAAGAGTGTGGTGATGGGGGGTGATAGGCAGAGAGCTTGCTGGTGCCCTGTGATGACTGAGCACCAGACCTGCCTTCGCATTCACCCCCTGCATGTGGGCACCACGGACAGGGTGGATGGGGCAGCTCTGGGCACGGAGACCCAGCTCAACAGCTTCACCTGGGAAGGGCTTTCATGGAGAACTCCACAAAGAAAGCCCCAAAAACCAGCAGCAGAGGCAAATGGACAGTGTGATGGGAGTTTGGGTGAGCGATAAAGAGGGGGATCGGAACTACGTGAAATCCAGGAGACTCTGTGTCTCCCACGTGTTTTATAAATTTTTAGAGTGTGCTGGACCCTGGCCTCTTCTAACAATAATACTGCGAGAATTCAACAGATAATAGTTATTAATCATAGAATCATAGAATCGTTCAGGTTGGAAGAGACCCTTGGGATCATCGAGTCCAACCATCTCCCCTACTCTACATAGTCCTCCCCTACACCATGTCCCTCAGCACTGCATCTAAACGGCCCTTAAACACAGCCAGGGATGGGGACTCCCCCCCCTCCCTGGGCAGCCTGTTCCAATGCCCGACCACTCTTTCGGTGAAAAATTCCTTCCTAATGTTCAATCTAAACCTCCCCTGTTGGAGCTTGAAGCCGTTCCCTCTCGTTCTGTCACTAATTACCTGTGAGAAGAGACCAGCACCAACCTCTCTACAGTGTCCTTTCACGTAGTTGTAGAGAGTGATGAGGTCTCCCCTCAGCCTCCTCTTCCTCAGATTAAACAGTCCCAGCTCCCTCAGCTGCTCCTCATACGATTTGTTTTCCAGCCCCCTCACCAGCTTCGTTGCCCTCCTCTGCACTCGCTCCAGCACCTCCAGATCTCTCTTGTATTGAGGTGCCCAAAACTGGACACAACACTCGAGGTATTAACTGCAGAGTTTTATCAGCACTGCCTTTAACAGCAATGCACGAAATTATTTTTCAGGGTATCAACTCCACCTTACCCAGAACGATTCCCTAAATTACCTGCAGCCCTTTATGGGGAACAAAGATGCCAAACCCACCACCGAATGCCTGGGTGGGCTGGGTTAATAGTGGCACCACGATGCATTTTTCCTCCTCCTTGGCAGGGGCTGAGGATGCCCGGGCTGCCCCGACTGGCCCCCTCCATCCCCACGGAGGATGCTGCCAACATCCACAGGCATCGCTCCCCGGGGCGGCTCGCTGGGTTCGGGTGGGCACGGCAGAGCCCCTTCACCGCTCACAACTTCTCCTCCAGGAAAAAATTTCCTTTTCCTTTCAGGAAATTCCCAAGGGATTAATAACCCTCGTTACCCCCGAGCACAACCCCCCATCGCCCACCACCCACACGTCGGTCCCAGACCCCCCCCCGCCGCAGCATCTCCACCCGCACCTCCATGAACGGCGCTTATTCACCCCGCAGCGGGCAACAACGCGGCCCCG